CCCCCCCCCCCCCCCCAGCCCGCTCACTGCATCCGAGACACCGCCTTAGAAGCTGGTTGTGGTTTTGTTTCTCCCCCAGGCCTGAGAGTTCCTCTAAGGCAAGGACGGTTCGATTCCCTGTGTTTCCCTGCCCCGCACATGAAGCATGCCTGACGCACCCCGACAGAGCGAACAGGCGAGTACATTGGGGAGAAGGATTGCACCAACCTGTCCAACTCAAGTGCCTGCCGTACCCACAGCATCCATCGTTCCTGCCCGGGGCAGAGTCTGAGATTCGGCCCGTGGGCAGGGGCGGCCGCCTGTGAGATCCTGTGCCCACACTCTGGTGTGAGCTCACCATTCCAGGCAGGGCAGAGAGGGAGCTGGTCAGTCAGGAGTGGAAGCAGCCAGAGACCCGGAGAGAGAAGGCGGAGAGCGCGGGCCATGGGGCCAGGATGCCGGGACTGGGCTGGTGTCCCCATAGCAGCTTGGAGGAGCCGGGAGAAGGCAGCGTGTGGACGCCACAGACAGCAGATGCCACGAGGGAGCCGGGGCCTCGAGGGAGCTGTGGGCATAAAATGAAACAATGGGGTCAAGGAAAGATGATCAGAGAAGGGGTGAGAGGGGGGGGCTTGTCAAGGGATAGAGTGACCGAAGCCAAAACAGGGACGGCCAGGTCCCCAGGTCGGCAGGGGACAAGTGAGCCCACGTGGCTGAGGCGACAAGCCCAGCTGATCCTAACGCCTGCCCCGGGCCCAGCACCTCCGTCCAGGGCCCCAGCTCACGGCCGACCGGAAGCCAGGCCGGGAGGCCCGCGCTCCTGAGTCTCCAAGGGGCCACCGCCTGTATTTCTAAATGCAAGTCCGGGGGGCCGCTTGCTGGTGGCGGAAACTGGTGCTGTGTGCTTCCCCCCGAGGAGCCGGGACCCTCGGGTCTGGAGGTGGGGTTTGCTGACCGGGCCCGGGGCGCCCCTCCTCCCACCCTGGAACTAAGAAACCAACTCGCTTGGCTCGTCTCCCCCAAACCTGCGGCCCGTCGCCTCCGGACTGGGGTTTGTTTATTCATTTAAACGGGTCCTGGCATTGGCTCGTGTTTGTTCTCTCCATAAAGCCCTTTTTATTTGGGTCGCGGAGAGCTGTTTACTGCCTCGCACATGCGGCCCGAAGAAGGGATGTGACGGAGATGCGGAGGTTGCTCTCCAGTGACCGGGGACTGGAGGGGCGCCAGGCGGGCCCCCCGTCCCCTGGGGACCCCCACCTTCACCCAGATACGAGCAGCCTTTTCCACACGGGACTGTCCTCACGGAGAGATTAGCCCGCCTCCCTCCCATCTGGGAGAGGCAGCGTCTCAGGTCCCAGCGGGGTCAGAGCTGCTCGCAGGAATAAATGCTTAGAAAGCACACAGACCACCCCCTGCCAGTGCGGCTCCGGACAGAGCGACGCCCACGCACAGAGGGGTCCAGGGTCCGGTTCCGGGTCAAGGGCACCCTATCTGGGTTGCAGGTTTGATCCCAGGCCCCAGCTGGGGTGTGGGCAGGAGGCACCCAGTCGGTGTGTGTCTCACATCGATGTTTCTCTCTCTCTCTCTCTCTCTCTCTCTGCCTCCTCCCTTCCATTTTCTCTAAAAAAATCAACGGGGAAAAAATATCCTCAAGTGAGGATTTAAAATAAAAACCATGCCTCAGTCTGTGGTTTGGTTTGTTTTTTGCTCTGAAGGGGTGAGAAGGATGAAGACTGGGTAAGAGGCGGGAGGACGAGAGCCACTGGTGAAGTTTAAGACGGTTTGGGCCCAGGGGTGCGGGCAGACGCGGGGTGCCAGGCATCCTGAAAGGGGTAGGTAAGTGAAAAGTGGGGGAGCAACCATCTGAGCCAGCAATCACCCCATGGTGCTTACCCCCAGGAGCTGAAGACAGGCCCATCCCGGACCGGGAGCAGCCCTGGAGCCCTGGGGTGGGAGGTGGGTCACCGTGGGCCTTCCAGGCGGCGGAGTGTCACCCGCACCAGCCACGGGACACACGGAGGCGCCTCAGAGGGTGACGTGGCCTCTGGAAAGGCTGCCCCCGTCA